CTTACCCTGCAAGGCAGGGGGGGGGGGGTGGGGGGGGGGGGAGGTTATGGCGCCTCTCACCCGCCGATGGCCGTGTCATAGAGTTTTTAGGTATTTATAGAGTTAGCTGTCCCACCAACTAACTCACCTCCTCTCAACGACCATCACCTGTTTTGGTCCACGGCCACTTATTCAATATATTTGTGGCTAACCTCTATATCCAGGGGCCTTTCCACCATCCGCCACCTGGTGGACGCGCCTAGTAGTAGGACAGACTTCTACCCTAGGTAGGAGGTATGTTTGTTGTGCATACAACATTTCAATCTGGAACAAGACCAAAGTCTGAGGTGGACATACAACATTTGATTCTGGAACAAGACCAAAGTCTGAGGTGGACATACAACATTTGATTCTGGAACAAGACCAAAGTCTGAGGTGGACATACAGCATTTGATTCTGGAACAAGACCAAAGTCTGAGGTGGACATACAGCTTTCCATCAGAGTTTTCAGCTAGTGAACATGCAGAAGGAGAAAATGAACTGGTTTGGTGAAATTGGATGTGTTGGGCTCAAAGTCACATTTATCACAGCCTAGCTGAAAACTGCAACCTTTATAAGGGTGAATGTAGAAGAAGAAGAATAAGATATTTGACGAACCAACCATAGTAACCGATATGTGTACATAATAGATGTTAGTGAGTTTTTTGGTTGAGTGACAGTTAATATTTATAACAGTTATCAGCTGCCATATTTGATTATTTTGTGTTTGATATCAGTCATAACTTGAAGTTTATCTGTGATTGGAATAAATGCTGAAATGTATTTGTTATAGTTAGTAGTTTTCGTTGTTACTAAATATTCTTTAAAAAAATATTAACAAATCGTAAACAATTAATGTTCATAAAAGAATTTTTATTCTTTCTGCAAAAGTCATCTGTAATTTCATATAGTAATTAATAGAAGCGTGGGGTGTAAGATCAAGTGCAAAGTTTTACCAGACAGACATAAAAACAAAATAGAACTTAATAAAAGCTTGTTTAAAAACTGTCTTTTCTGTTTAAGTACCACTTTCTGGGTCTGTGTAGTATGGGTGTGGGGCCCCCTCTTAGCCTCAGTATTTGGCAGCAGACTGTCTGGCGTTGGTTTCGACAGTGGTACCGAACTGTGACCCTTCAATGGGTAGTGGCAAACTACTGAACGTCACATTTCGTCCTGTTTCTTAGGTTAGATTTCATATCAATCAATCAATCAATCAGGTGCCGTCTCCACAATGAAGGTTGGCTGCAATGGATCTCCAACAAGCCCTGTCTTTTGCCCTTGATGTACACTCACTCATACTGCTGTTCGTCCATCTCTTGATGTTATCCTCCCACTTGTAATGCTGTCTGCCTCTTGCTCGCCTACCTTGAACCTTTCCCTCTAGGATGATCTTTACAATACTGTTATGTTTTTTAATGTGGCCAAAATATTTCACTTGTCTCTTTTTTATTTCACCTAGCAACTCTTTTCATTCCGAATTTCCTCAGTACCCCTGTATTTGATAGCTTTTGTTTCCATGAAATACAACCTAATCTTCTGTATATCCACATCTCCAAAGAATTGATACGATTTTCCAGTCGTTTGTTCATTGTCCATGTCTCTGTGCCATACAGTAAGGTTGAGAATACATAACATTTGACAATTCTCATTTTTAATGTATTGCTTATTTCTCTTGATGTCAGTAACTTTTGCATGTTGTTGAAAATGTTTTTGGCCATCCCTATTCTTTTCTTGACTTCTGTTTCACTTCTGCCGTCACATGTTATTACTTGTCCAAGATATAAGAAATTTTTAACTTGTTCCAATTTCACCCCGTTCACTGTGATATTCATTGTTAGCTGATTATTTTCTTTGCTAAATATCATGGTTTTTGTCTTTTTCAAATTATCTAATCCAAATTCTGCACTCTTTCTGTTTACTTGCTCCACTAGGTCTTGCAACTCCTGCTCACTCTCTGCTAGCAACACTGTGTCGTCAGCATATCTCAGATTGTTTATTATTCTACCATTGATGTGCAGTCCTGGTAATTCTACAATTTCTTTAAAAATAGTTTCTGTACATAAGTTGAAAAGGCTAGGCGACAGCACACATCCTTGTCTTACTCCTCTCTTGATCTCTATCTGGGGTGAGCAGATGTTGTCATATCTTACTGTTGCTTCTTGCTCCCAGTATAAGTTTCTAATAAGTCTGATATCTTTTCCATCTAGTCCTATGTTTTTAAGAGCTGCAATTAGTTGTTCATGTTGCACTCTGTCGAAAGCTTTTTTGTAATCTATAAAACATGCATAAATATTTTTCTGAACTTCTATATATTTTTCAGTCAGCACCTTTAGACAAATTATGGCCTCTCGAGTACCACTGTTTTTACGGAATCCAAATTGCTCTTCAGAAACTTCTTTCTCTATTTTATTTTGAATTCTTGCTTGTATTATCTTCAAGAGTAACTTAGTTATGTGACTCATTAGGCTAATAGTTCTGTAATCTTCACAATCAACAGCTTTTGATTTCTTGGGTAGTGTGATAAAAACAGATGTTTTCATGTATCTGGGAATGTACCCATAGTTATAAATGTCATTGCATATTTCTGTGATAGTATCAATTCCAAAAGTAGATCATGATTTTAACATTTCTGCAGTTATGTTGTCTGGACCTGCAGCTTTTCCCTGCTTCATCTGTTTAATGGCTTTCTCTACTTCAGACTTTAATATGTTTGGCCCCTCTTGAATATTATGGATTGGCAGTTTGTCACCTCTGTTGTCCCAAAACAGGTCTTCTGGGTATTCAGTCCATCTTTTTATTATATCTTTCTTATCAACAATAATTTTTCCATCCTTCCCCCTAATACAACCATTTCCTGTTGAATGTTTTCCCTTGTTTGTAAGTTTTCTTACATTTGCATGTATTTCCTTGGTTCTGTGTTTTATTTCAAGATCCTCTATTTCTTTGCATTTTAACTGAATCCATGTTTCCTTAGCAGTTCTACACATATTTCGTATTTCTTTGTCTATTAATGAATATTCTGGAGTGCTTTTTGCTTTCTTCCTTTGTTTCATTTTGTTAATAATTTCCTCAGTCATCCATACTTGATTTTTCTTGTTTTCTTTCACTGGTAATATGGCATTAGCTGTTTCTATACTAGTTTTGAAACATTGCCATTTTGTATTAATTTTGTCCTCTGGATTCTCCAGTCGATATTGTTCCATGCTTTCAGCTATTAGTCTGTCATATTTATATTATAGATTTCATAAATTCACTCCAAATGAAAAACATTTAGAAAAACATCTACCAATTAAACGTCAAAAACGATATCTAAATGCAAGTGAAAACATCTAAATCTGGATGTAAAATATCCAAAGTGGCAACACTGGTGAAAACCGGCAGCGCATTCCTTGTCTTGAATTGTCTGTCCCTACATTTAGCACGAATTGTGACTTGAGTAGTTAGTAAATTTGTGACAACAGAGATGAAATGCCTTAGAAGAGCTGCAGGAGTTTCAAGGAAAGACAGAATACGAAATAATGAAATCAGACGAATGCTAGGAATAAAGCCAGTCTTACAGGCCATCAAAGAACAACAAATGAAGTGGTTTGGACAGCTAACAAGAATGCCCTGGTACTATCTGCCACAGCGAGCCACACTAAAACGTTACAACGGGTATAGAGCGAGTGGAAGACCTCGGAAAATATGGAGTGATAGCATTAAGAACAGCCTTAAAGAAATGAACATCAGTCTTAATTGTGTTCTTGACAGAGCTCACCAACGTACATTACATCTCCCACCGACACTTCGATGAGGTACAAGAAGGAAGAGAAGAATAATAGTAGTTAGTAAATTAGCAATTACAGGACCGCAGAAGGAAATAAAGAGACGTAGCATTAGAAAAGTACTCAAAAGGGCCTAACATGACTTAACATCTTATCAAACGCTTTGATGCGGTAATTTCATGATGAGGGTATAGTAGTAGTAGCAGCAGCAGTAGTAGTAATAATAGTAGTAGTTGCTGCAACAGCAGTAAATAAACAGAGGGGGATACATTTGAGGCCGTTGCAACAACAGTAGCAGCAGAAACAGCAGCAGCAGCAGTAGTGGTAGTAGTAGTAGTAGTAGTAGTAGTAGTAGTAGTAGTAGTAGTAGTAGTAGTAGTAGAAGAAGAAGAAAGAAGAAGAAAAAAAGCAGAAGCAGCAACCGAAGAAGAAAAAGAAGAAGAAAAAAAAAAAAGAACGCATAGAAGAATCGTACATCTCCCCTATTAATTTTTCGAGTTATGTGGAGGAGGAGGAGGTTAGGAAAAAACGATGACGAGGGAGAATAAATGCGAAGATGATGAGATAACTGGACAACAAAAAGAGAGAGGACGAGAAGGGTAGAGGGAAGAAGTAGAAAGAAGAATTATGCACACACACAATCTTTCACCCCCCCCCCCACTTCCCCCCCCCCCCCCCCCACGCTTCGTTGTGGTCACTGAAGGCGTAGGATGGGGAGGTAAAGAAGAAGAATAAAGAGTAAGTAGAATATACTGTAATTTCCCCAGCTGTTCGCTAAAGTTACTTAAAAAAAAAAAAAAAAAAAACATTACAATAAATACAGTAATTCTCATTCTCCCCGAACTCAAGGTTCCATACTGGACAACAAGGAAGTAACAAACACGATGATAGTTACCATATGACCCATGAACTTTGACACCGGCGGGTTCACTACCCACTTGTGTACCTCAACACTAGCAGACGTTCACTACTACATTGAACCTTGAGCAGCGTTTTTCTTTAACACCACTTCCAACTTGACTGCGTCGACTTTCTTCATCGCTCTGACCGTGACTAGCTCAGTCACACAGCCGATAAAAACACCGCTGCAGAGATTAGTCAAGTCGTTTCGTACAAACCTGACTATCTTCATTGAGGCATTTTTTTTCTATCAGCAACAACAAGAAGCTGTTATCAGAGACTCGACCGGGGGCCATTGATTGAGAACAATCAGCAATCATGGCAGGAGGGTAAGTTTTAAGTAGACTATTTATTGATAGCAGTTATCAGTTTATCATCAGATGTGTATGTTATTTATTATATTCGCTTTGCGTTCTCTTTTTCTTCCTTGCGTTCGGTTTCGTATGCTCAGATGAGACCATCAGGTGGGTTGCCTCTATGAACTCGCATGTCAGTAGTACGTCCTTCTTAGTTATTTTTCCCCATAGCTTGCTCTGCACACTTTACTCCTGAGGCCAGGTGTCTTTTTTAAAGTTGTATGTAGAATGGGTAGGTATGCAGAATGTGCTCAGGTGTTTGTGGTCCTGTTTGACAGGCACACAGTGGGGACAGTACAGTCCTAGTTGTATGCATGTGATAGTTGAGCCTGCAGTGTCCTGTTGGTAGATGGAGAATTGTTTGCAAGTCTGTCCCTATTGCGTTGATTTTGACACCAGAATCTAATGCTGACCGTTCAGTAACAGTATCAAACTGCTGTATGTAAATTTGTCTGGTAAAATCACAAACAGCCAAAAAATGCTGGGGCTGGTTCTGCAACATCTTGCAAAGGATACACAACTAACTTTATTAAATTAGTACCATAATTTTTGCAGAAATAAAGAGTTGGCATTGCATGTTTAATGAGGCAGGTAGGTAGTGGGTAGGTGCTTTATTACTGTCCCGACCGGTGATGAAGTCGTCTACCGGTGAGCCAGTGGGTGATCCGGTCGCTGATGTCCAAGAGGCACCCTAGGACATAGATGCTGATAAAAAAGGCCATAAGTGATGAACTGGATTCCATCCGTGATATTAAAGTGATAGCCTAGAATATAACTGAATGGGGGAATAGACTGCGAGCCCTGTGTTGCATATAATGGCACAACAGGACAATGATGATGATGATGATGATGACGAGGGCCCTATTCTAATCCGTATAAAGTATAGAGCTTCCACTTTAAAAGTTTTAAATATATGACTTTTATACATAGTTATAAAACATAAATATGTGAATGGTTTGGGAACCCTTGAATTATTTATGCAGCATGAGAAAGAAATCTGTTGCCTTCCTCTATATCTGTGAAAGCTAATCAATACCTTATAATTGTTTGCAATTTCAGTTACATTTATAAAATAGCTGAGATTGATTTTAATGCTATATTGTATTTGTTGACACCCTAAACATACATAAAAAATGCACATAAACAGCACACATGCACGCTCCACATTATATAGACATATATACACATATTCATACCACGTAAACAACAGGCACATTTACAAAAACACACTGTTTACATACACACATAAGCAGTACACATACACACCATGCACATATACACAACATACACACATATACACACCTCAAACATGTACACCTCATAGACACACACACACATTTTGATATCCCACAGATGCAAACACCATACACATAACATTTACAACATACACATATACACACCGTACACATGCATGCACAGCACACCATTTACATACGTACTCACACTTAGATATCACACACATGAATACACATTTCTTCTTGTGCTCTTGGATCTCCATTTGGAGCCTAGGTCTTCAGCCAATACATACATAGCCATCCTATATTTTCCTATCTCATACAGCCGTGTCCTACCTGGGTAGTTTGCATCCTTTGGATGTTTTCTCCACATGATGTGGGAAACAAACAGGAAGACAGACTGGCTGGTTCTACACCCTTTGGTGGTAAATTGATGCATGCAAGCTAGGTGTTGTCATATCCTCTTGAGAGGAAGTGAATGCTGCAGAGGCACAAATAGATCATCTCAGTCAGAAGAGAATGCTGCAGTGGGGAGTGACCAGAGGTTGACACTCAGGGCCCAGAGGGAACACATAATCAGACTGCTTCTGGTAGCACTGACATTGGAACTTTGTGCTAGCTGCTGAAGATGGGAATGGAGCACTTACAGGAATGTTCTGAGTTCTGTAATGTTGAATATCAACTCAGCTTGACATCTTTTTTCGTTTCCCTCCCATAAATACCTGTCTCTAATTCTTTTCTCAATTTATTAAGATTTTTTAGGCTTATCTTTATTTTCCTTTGGGCTGCAATTGCAAGATCATTGTAAATATTTCCAGTGTGTGACCTAACTATGGCAATCATCTTTTCATCAACTTTCGACTCACTTAAACTTGTTTAGCTCTTTCCCTAACTCTTTCAGTACCAGGAGATTTCATAGGAGAAGGCAGATAAAAGAAATAACCATATTCAGAGTGGCAATATACACAGAGCTGGTGACTACTGGGAAAACCAGGCTTCTATAGTATGTTCTGCCCAAATATTAAAATTAAGAGAACACATTATGATATAGAGGAAAATCAGTGGATAAAGTAATTACCACATCAGGCTAGGATTGAAAGAGCTAAGCTCCACACTAGCGATTCAACCATGCCATTTAATTGCCTGCATTCACTGCAAGCTTCAGTTTATTGTATGTGCTTTTGATGAGGGTCCCTATTCACTTATTGATGTTTATTTATATTTAACCTTTCAGCTTTGTAATGTATGCAACCTCTGGCCTACTTTTCGGTTTTGCAGAGTCACTGAGATCTGTTTATACACACTGGCATACAGAGATTATGTTATTGATTTTAGAGTTCTGGTAAAGTCATTATTCATGTCTAATGCCTCCAGAAAGTAAATCTAGAGCCCAACGATAAGAAATGGACAAATACAGCGGTTGGTGAAAAATGAAAGAATAGGCCTCAGCTTGAATAATGGGAGCACAGTAATTCTAAAAGGAAATTACTTGTGCCCTGATGTACATTTAAAGTCAATTGTGTTATTTTGTGAGTTAAGTCAAGAATTAACATCACAGCAATTGGGGCATTCCCATGCATGCACTGTCCTCATCTTCAGCAGCCAGCGCAGTTCCAGTATTGATGGTACCAGTTACAGTCTGGTTAAATATCTGTCTTGCCTTTCCTCTGAGTGTAGTGAGCTGGCCAGACCCTCTTGTTACACCACCAGACCCTCTGGTTACACCACCAGACCATCTGGTTACACCACCAGACCCTCTGGTTACACCACCAGACCCTCTGGTTACACCACCAGACCCTCTGGTTACACCACCAGACCCTCTGGTTACACCACCAGACCCTCTGGTTACACCACCAGACCCTCTGGTTACAACACCAGACCCTCTGGTTACACCACCAGACCATCTGGTTACACCACCAGACCCTCTGGCTACACCACCAGACCCTCTGGCTACACCACCAGACCATCTGGTTACACCACCAGACCCTCTGGTTACACCACCAGACCCTCTGGTTACACCACCAGACCCTCTGGTTACACCACCAGACCCTCTGGTTACACCACCAGACCCTCTGGCTACACCACCGGACCCTCTGGCTACACCACCAGACCCTCTGGCTACACCACCAGACCATCTGGTTACACCACCAGACCCTCTGGTTACACCACCAGACCCTCTGGTTACACCACCAGACCCTCTGGTTACACCACCAGACCCTCTGGTTACACCACCAGACCCTCTGGTTACACCACCAGACCATCTAGTTACACCACCAGACCCTCTGGTTACACCACCAGACCCTCTGGTTACACCACCAGACCATCTAGTTACACCACCAGACCCTCTGGTTACACCACCAGACCCTCTGGTTACACCACCAGACCATCTGGTTACACCACCAGACCATCTAGTTACACCACCAGACCATCTAGTTACACCACCAGACCATCTAGTTACACCACCAGACCATCTAGTTACACCACCAGACCATCTAGTTACACCACCAGACCATCTAGTTACACCACCAGACCATCTAGTTACACCACCAGACCATCTAGTTACACCACCAGACCCTCTGGTTACACCACCAGACCATCTAGTTACACCACCAGACCATCTAGTTACACCACCAGACCCTCTGGTTACACCACCAGACCATCTAGTTACACCACCAGACCCTCTGGTTACACCACCAGACCATCTAGTTACACCACCAGACCATCTAGTTACACCACCAGACCATCTAGTTACACCACCAGACCATCTAGTTACACCACCAGACCATCTAGTTACACCACCAGACCATCTAGTTACACCACCAGACCATCTAGTTACACCACCAGACCATCTAGTTACACCACCAGACCCTCTGGTTACACCACCAGACCATCTAGTTACACGACCAGACCATCTAGTTACACCACCAGACCCTCTGGTTACACCACCAGACCATCTAGTTACACCACCAGACCCTCTGGCTACACCACCAGACCCTCTGGTTACACCACCAGACCCTCTGGTTACACCACCAGACCCTCTGGTTACACCACCAGACCCTCTGGTTACACCCAGACGCCTCATTCTCCAGGCCAAATAATCTGTTATCTCTACTGATTCAGTTGCTTATTCCAAAGGGTCTTGACCACATCTGCCTTGTCATGTTGTTGGTTTGTGATAAGTACTTAAGTTTAACTAGGAAATAATTTAACTAGGAAAGTAGCACACTAGGAAATTTGGGGAGGTTAAAAGAAATTAAAAACTTATACATTTAACATTTTTTAACTCTAATGTCCAATCTGTTGTATGGAGTGGAAACATGGAGAACAACTAAGGCAGTTACTAATAAACTACAAACTTTCATTTACTGATGCCTGCACAGAATAGAGTGAATTAAAAGATATGATAGAATCACTAATGTAGAGTTTTGGCAGAGAACTAAACAAGTTCCAGTGGACCAAAAGGTGAAGAAAAGATGTGGGGAAGAGAGCTAGAAAGTGAAGTTAAAAAGTTGAGGAGGACATGGGTTGAGCTGCATGCAATAGCCAAGGAAAGAATGACTGCATGAGTGGTTGAGGGCCTATGCTTCATTGGGGTGATAGAAGGCAGAAGAAGAGACATAAGTTTAGTAAAAGGTAAAGGTAAAGTTGGGAGATGTGAACCAGCATCATTGCACACGGACAGCTGATTAGAAACTGTCTGCACGTGTCGCCATCCGCACGCAACTCCGTAGCTACATT